TCGGGAGGCAGAGGCAGGCAGATCTCTGTGAGTTCCAGCCCAGCCTGGTCTACAAGAGCTAGTTCCAGGACAGCCTCCAAAGCCACAGACAAACCCTGTCTCGAAAAAACAAAACAAAACAAAGCAAAAACAAACAAAAACAGTGGTCCAAGACTTCCATGATGGGAAAACTTGTCTGACACCAAGGGTAGTCAGAGCCATCTCTCTGCTAAATGTCATGGTCCCCATTCTAAGCTGACTACAGGATCTTCCTAGGAGTATCCCAGTGTTAAAGTGAGCTGGGGCATTAAATGTGACCTCAGGATGCCTCCCCTGCCCAGGCACTGATGCTAATGTTGACAGTTGTCTGGGGAAGTCAGTTCCCTCCCCATGCCCAGCTCCCAGCTCCTGCCACCTTTTGTTGCCTAGCTCAAAAGCTGTGGTGAGGATTCATACACTCCTCCAGTTCACCATTCACCAGGAGACCTGCTGTAATGAATGCCAAGTAAGCTACGATTCTCTAAAACACTGTAGGATGAGAGAAGATGACACTGTCTAAAAAAGCAAAGTGGGGGTGGGGTGGGTGGAGAAATAGCCCAAGTGGGGGTCGAGAGGCCTTCTTGCTCTTGCTGAGGACCTGAGTTCATTTTCCAGCACTGGCTTCAGGAGGTTCACAACCACCTGTAACTCCAGCTCCCCCTTCTGGCCTCCATAGGCAACTACATTCATGTATACACATTACCCCTACCCCCCCACCCCCCCATGCACACACATATTTTTGTTTTGTTTTTCAAGATAGGGTTTCTGTCCTGGAACTCGACCAGGCTGGCCTTGAACTCACAGAGATCTGCCAGCATCTGCTTCAGGAACACTGAGATAAAAGGTGTGCCGCACCACTGTTGGTCTTTAGATCTCAAACTCACAGAGATCCTGTCTCTGCCTCCCACCAGGATTAAAGGCATGCACCACCACCACCTGGTGGGATGTAGCACTTTAAAAAATCTCCCTGAATCCTGCCGATTATGGTGGTGCCTACCTTTAATCCTAGCAACTGGGAGCCATAGGCAGTAGGATCTCAGTGAGTTAGAGGCCAGCCTGGTCTACAAAGTGATTTCTAGGACAGCCAGAGCTCTGTTACACAGAGAAATCCTGTCTCAAAAAAACCACCCTCCCCTAAATGTGGCATTGGTGGCACATGCCTTTAATCCCAGCACTTGGGAGGCAGAGGCAGGTGGATCTTTGTGAGTTCGAGGCCAGCCTGGTCTACAGAGTGAGTTCCAGGATAGGCTCCAAAGCAATACAGAGAAACTTTGTCTCGAAAAACAAACAAACAAACAAACAAAAAAACCCAAACAAACAAAACAAAACAAAAAACCCAAAACCTAAAACAAACAAAACAAAACAAAAAAACCCAACCAACCAAACAAACAAAAAACAACCCCCAAAACCACCCTCCCCACAAAAACCTCCCAAACTCCTCCAACACAGACAAAATATGTGTGAAAGGGCAAACCCCTCTGGTGTGTGTGTGTGTGTGTGTGTGTGTGTGTGTGTGTGTTGGAGGTCAGAGGACAACTTTTAGAAATTGATTCTTCCTTCTGCCTTGCTGAGGCAGGGTCTCTCTTTTCTTTGTACTCCAGACTACCTGGCCTGTGAGCAATAAGGACAATTCTCCTGTCTCTACCTTCCATCTTACTGAAGGAGTTCTAGAATTAAAATGTGTGCATGCCACTACATCTGGCTTTAAAACATAATTGTATAATTATTACTATTGTGTGTATATATGTGTGTGTGTTTCACCTTGAGGAGGACAGATGACAAGTTTGTGGTGTCACTTCTCTCCTTCCAAGTTTACATGGGTCTTGGGGGGATAGAACTTAAGTCACTAGGCTTGCATGACAAGTGCTGGTCCCCTGCTGAGCTACCTCGTGGTTGCATTCTGAAGGTAGAGCTGGTGTCACCAGCTCTTCAGGCTGCAAGAGGTTTGCGATAGTTGTTATGTCTTTTCTGTGTGAGCCCCGGAGCATGAAAAATGCCCTCATAGCTTGGAAGGACGTTCTGGAGACAAATGAGGAACATCCATGTTTTCATTGCACTGGGGTCATTATTAGGTAGAAAATGTGGACATCAATGGCCAAGTTGGAAAATGATTTAGTAGCCAGATTTTTTGAATAAGGTGTAGGAATACCATGAATACCAATTAGTCTTTGAATGTGCCCATGCCACAGTATAATTAAAACCTATATCAAAGTCTAAAGTAATACCTCAATAGGGATAAAGTAAAGATTCCAGCTCATCTGGACTGGAGAGCTGGCTCCGTGGTTAAGAGCACTTGCTGCTTTTGCAGAGGACCTGAGTTCGATTCTCAGCATCCACATTGGGTGGCTCACAGCAATCAGCAACTCCAGTTTTAGGGGATCTGATGCCCTCTTCTGGACTTCTCGGCAACCAGTATTCACATGGTGCATATATTCACACTCGTTAATTGACAGCCTTTGTTTTATGTGCATAAATGTTGTTAAAATTGATGGTGCCTTATACTCAGTGAAATACAGCATTTGCATTTAAGAATCCAAGTTTCTAATTACTGTTTTAGTTAAATCCCATAGGTTTTGGTGTGTGGGACCCAAGTTCATTGTACCTTAATGTGATTTCCATTATGATTTCTTCTTGATGAATTATTCAGCAGTGTGGTTTGAGCTCCCAAGCTTACAGTGGGGTTTTGGCTTGGGGATGTCTTTATTGTTGATTTCTAATTGTGTTGTGTTGAGGTCTGGGTGGAGTCCACATGCCATTTTTTGGCTCTTTTGTGGCCTAAGATAAAGATGGTTCCTTCCCTGGTTGCTGGAGACTGTCCTGCCCTCCTCACAGCTCTGTTGCTTTCTGGTCCAGTTCCCTGGCCTTGACTTTATTACAGCTGTTCAAACCTCTAGCAACCATTGGCCTCACTGTACCTAAGGCTACTCTGGGTTCTGGCTCTCAGTGCTCTGGGAGTCTGTAGATGTCACAGGACTCTGTCCTGTGCCACACCCCAGAAAACCTGAAAACAGGGTGGAGGGAAAGTAGCTCAGCTGACCTTCGAGGTTTGTAATCACAGGCATCATCCCCTGAAGGCTGTGGTATGTTTCCACCTGTGCCAGTCACAGCACAAAGGTGTGAAGTCTGTGGTGTGTGCCCACTCCTTTCATCCCCTCCCCCCCCACCCCGACTTCCTCCTCCTTCCTTTCTCTCTGTCTCTGTCTTTCTCTCATCTCTTTTCTTCTGTATTTCTTTCTTTCTTTTTTTTCAAAAATTTCTGAGACAGGGTTTCTCTGTATAGCCCTGGCTGTCCTGGAACTCTGTATACCAGGCTGGCCTCAAGCTCATAGAGATCTGCCTGCCTCTGCCTCCCGAGTGCTGGGACTAAAGGCGTGCACCATCACAGCTTGGCCTGTATGATTTTCTTTTTTCTTTCTTTCTTTCTTTTTTTTTCATAGTATTTATTTATTTATTTATTTATCATATATACAGTCTTCTGCCTGCATGTCAGCAGAGGGCACCAGATCTCATTCAAGGTGGTTGTGAGCCACCATGTGGTTGCCAGGAACTTCAGTTAAGAACTCTGGAAGAGCAGTCAGTGCTCTTAACCGCTGAGCCATCTCTCTAGCCCCTGGCCTGTATAATTTTCATATCACAAGTGTCCACCGAGCTTCTGTGCTCTATGAAATTATGCACAAAGAAGTCCAATGTCTACTCATCAAGCCTTTAATGAGCAATTGGAGGGTGAAGGGGTGGCTCAGCCAGTAAGAGCACTTGAGGCTCTTGCAGAGGGCTTGAGTTTGGTTTTCAGTGCCCATATCAGGTGGCTCAAACCATCTGTGTCTCTAGCTCCATGGGATCTGACGCCCTCTTCTGGCCTCCATGAGCAGCACTGCACACACATGGTGCACACACAGAATGCAGGGCATGCACACATACACATAACAACAATAAAAATAAATCTTAAAAAAGTAACTAAACCAGGCACATGCTGATGTAAAATGGTAAAGAACAGATGGACTTTTATAAAATATAAATCATGCAGCAAATTGAAAAGAATGGTTTTCCCTCCGTATGACAGCCATTATGGGTGACTGGGAGGTTTAGAATTATTTTCCTTCTTTTACTTTTTCCTCCTCCTTGAATTCTTTATGTAGCCAAGGGTAACCTTGAACTTCTGATTTTCCTGCCCACCTCCCAAGTGCTGGGGTCGCAGGCATGGGCTACCATGGCTGCTTTCTTCAGCGCTGGGAGTGGAACCCAGGGCTTCCTGCACACCAGGCAAGCATGCTATCAGCTGAGCTATGTCCTCAGCCCATGGAATTCTTTACATTCATTCACTCCAGTGCTGCTTGAGGTCTGAGTCATGCCAGGCGCTCTTCTAGATGCCACTGGGGCAAAGTTATGTTTGTGAATGACTGGTTAGATAATGGGAGGTGACCCATGAAGTTTCTTCAGGTCATGCTCACCAGCTGTGTTCATTATCCCGTCATGAGCAAACCCTCTGGATGATTGTGCCAAGGCGTCCACATGGTGAATGTGCCACCTGGCTGCTTCAGACCTCTCCTCCACTCAGTGGTGGGCAGGTGAGCTCGTGGAGGCACAAGACATCCAGATTAGTGGCTGGGAGTTCAGACTGTGGCGTTACAATGTTGCCATCAAACTTGGGCCTAGATGTTCAGTTTTTCCCTGAATGTAGGCAAATGTGCAACCTTTGGACCTGTTTCCTCATTGTGTGTGTGTGTGTGTGTGTGTGTGTGTGTGTGTGTGTGAATACAGATGTGCTTGTGACACAGTGCCATGTGTAGGTTAGAGGACAACCCTCAGGAGACAGTTCTCTATTGCCACTTGTGAGATCTGGGGATTGAACTCAGGTTGTCAGGTCTGGCAGCAAGTCTCCTTTACCCACTGCGCCATCTCACCAGATCCCTCTCCTCCAGTTTTCAAATATAGGCTGTCAGGTATTTCAGCAATATACTCAAATGGTGACATCTATGTTGCAGATACCAAACACACTGATGGTCTAGAATCCAGTGGTTCCTTGGCCAGCAGCAGGATGGGCTCTGATAGAAGGAGCAGCCTTTTGTCTTCTGATAATGCTTGTCCGAGAGTCGATGAGCCACCAGGATCCACTGGATCGTTGATTCTTTCTAAGTAAGTGTGTGCGTGCGTGTGTGTGTGTGTGTGTGTGTGTGTGTGTGTGTGTGTGTGTGTACGCGTGCGTGCGTGCGTGCGTGTGTGTGTGTGTGTGTGTGTGTGTGTTCGCGTGCGTGCGTGCGTGCGTGTGTGTGTGTGTGTGTGTGTGTGTGTTGAAATTAAGACAATATTGGGATGAATTATGAGCAAGAAGGGGATAGTCTGAGATCTGTGTGCACTGCTAGGCAAGAAGTTTGAGCTAGGCTACATAAGTTCAAATCCCAACTCTCCACTGATGATCTGTGTGAATTTGAGCAAATTGCATCACTTCTCTGGGCCTCTTTTTTTTTTTAACATTTATTTATTTATCTCCTACCCCCATGTGTGTGCATGCATGCCATTTTGAATATGTGGAGGTCAAAGGACAATGAGTTACACACACACACACACACACAAAGAATGAAAAAAAAATAAAGAATGAGCATCCTAAGAGATACAGTTAAGAGTATGATTACTGGGGCTGGAGAGATGGCTCACCTGGCTTTGGTTCCCAGAACCCATGTGGTGATTCTCAACCACCAGGAACTCCAGGGATCTGATGGCCTCTTCTGGCCACCATGGGCACTGTGTGTACATAGTACCCTTGCAATGCAGGTAAAACATTATATACACACACAAAATAAATCTTTAAAATACAATTTTATCCCTTTTTAAGTGCACAATGAAGTGGCACTAATTACATTCATAGTGTCTTACAACCATCGACACTGCCTATTTTTTAAAAAAAGAATATTTATTTATATTTTATACACATTAGTGTTTTGCCTGCTTGTATATTTGTGTCAGGGTGTCAGATCCCCTGGAACAGGAGGTACAGACAGTTGTGAGCTGCCATGTGGGTACTGGGAATTGAACCCAGGTCCTCTAGAATTCTGCCAGTGCTCTCAATTGCTGAGCCGTCTCTCCAGCCCCACCGCTGCCGATTTCCAAAACAACTCACCAATCCCAACACAGACCGTGTCACTGAAGGGTATCCCTTCCCCTTCAGCTGCTCTCTGCCCTTCCTTTAGTGGAGCCATATTGACTTGTCCTTCTACGTCTGGCTAATCTTTACTTCAAATCACCTTCTCTCGGCTCACTCATGTGGTAGCATGTGGCAGAGCCCCACTTTTTTGTAGACTGACTTGTATTCCTTTGTGTACCCTGAACTTCAATTATTCACCTGCCTGCTGACGAATGCTGGGAGTTATTCATTTTCTGCAATGCCCATAGGCAAGTGTCTGCCTGAGTTTCTGTTTTCTGTTCTTGTGGGTTTACACATAAGGGTAGAATTCCTGGATCATGGAGCAATTCCATGTATGAGGGGCTAGTGCCTTGATTTTTTTTTAAAAATTGATTTAAATATGTATGTATGTATATCCTATGCATGCTGGTGCTGCGGAGACCAGAAGAAGGCATCAGATTCTTAGAACTGGAGTTACAGGTGGGTGTGATCTACTATGTAGGTGCTGGGAATCGAACCCAGGTGTTCTATAAAATCAGCAAGTGCTCCTAATTGATTAGCCTGCTGTTTGTTTGTTTGTTTGTTTGTTTTTTAGAGACAGGGTTTCTTTGTATAGCTTTGGAGCCTATCCTGGCACTCGCTCTGTAGACCAGGCCGGCCTCGAACTCACAGAGATCTGCCTGCCTCTGCCTTCTGAGTGCTGGAATTAAAGGCGTGCGCCACCACCACCAGGCTAACCTGATTGTTTTAAAGCATGCATCTTTTTGCATCTTTTGATTACGTTTTAGTACCTTCAAGTTGTGAGTCAGTAAACTACACGTTCCGGGATTTTACAGAGAGTGAGGCCAGCCAGTTCTGTTACTGAGAACTCTGTGTGCCACTAGTATAAGATCAGTTTGGTTGCCAGTTTGAACAGAGAGGCAATTTTAACCCTGCCACTTGCCTTCCAGCAAAGCTTCAGAGATGGATCAGAAGTCCTCTTCCTCCTCCTCCTCCTCTTCTTCCTCTGCACAGTCTAAGTGCCCCTCTCAAGTTTCACTGCCTGTATTCCAGAAGGAAATACATCCTGAGGAACTCAGCCTGCTTAAGTCACAGACAAGTGAGTAGGTCCCAGGCCTTCCTCCACAGGCCTCTGCCCCTGGGACCTTTTCAGAAATCTGTCATATTATGGACCAAGTCAGGGAAGACCTGCCCAGTGTCAGGCTTTTGGCATGTTTCCTCTTGGGTCCTCAGGATGGGTGTGTGGGAGGTGAATATGATCATACGGTTTTCATGCATGAAAGGCCTTAGTGTAAGTGCCATAAAAGGTATTAAGCAATATAGAAAGAAGTTCATAGACTATAAACCCTCTCTTATTCAATATTCTCCAACGATATTCTTCCCTATAGCTGTGAAGAGCTGAATTTTGAAATATGTACACCTGAGTACATACACAAGCAGTCATGTGTTGTATAATGCAGCTTTAGCCAATAGTGGTCTGCATATATGACAGTGGTTCCACCAAAATATGATGTGGCTGAAAGCTTCCCATGGCCTGGTGATGTCATAACACACACATGACTTGTGCCTGTGGTGATACTGGTGGCCAGTCCTATAAAAACATAGCACACACATCCTATCTGACAATGATAAATAACCTTACCACTGGTTTAGATATTTAGTATACTACACTATACCAGCATTGTAAAGTACTCTCTCTACTTATTATGAGAAGGTAAGGGGTCTGGGCAAGGCAGTTTAGTGGGCAAAGGCCCTTGTGTCTAAGACTGAGTTTTGATCCCCAGAAGGCACATGCTGGAAGGGAAGAACTGACTCCTGGAAGTTGTCCTCTTGGTCTGCAACACACATGCATGCACACACGAGTGCACAGAATACAATGTTAACCATACAACAGCATGCTGGGCTACACGGCTGCCTCACACATTTTGCTTAGGGTGCCTCTTGATATTATCAAGAAACCATATGGGTGAACAACTGTACTAATTCCTTTTCACACCGGTGAAGCAGCACCTTAAAAAAGAAGACTCATTTTGCCGGGTGGTGGTGGTGCACGCCTTTAGTTTCAACACTCGAGAAGCTGAGGCAGGCAGATCTCTGTGAGTTCAATGCCAGCCTGGTCTACAGAGCGAGTTTCAGGACAGCTAGGGCTGTTACACAGAGAAACCCTGTCTCGATAAAACAAAAAACAACAACAACACAAATAAATAAAAAGGTTCGTTTTGACTCAACAGTCCACATGGTGGTGGGGACACATGGCAGCAGGGTTGGGAGGCAGTTGCTCACACTGTGTCAACCGTCAGAAAGGAGAGGGCTGTTGGTGGGAATGGCTGGTACTCAGTTTGTTTCTCCTCTTCATTCAATCTAGGGTTCAGTCCACAGCCAAGCCTTCCTACTTCAGCTAGCCCAATCTAGAAGCTCTCACAGATGTGCTCAGAGCTGTGTCTCCTAGGTGGCTCTGGATTTCATCAAGGTGACACCAGAGCTACCACACTGACCTCTTTGTGTATGTCTGTGTAAGGACACTGTGGTATTCAAAGGAGAACGAAGCAGCCTAATGACACATTTCTCAAGTCATCAAGTGACACACATGAGAATATCTGAGCTGTGGTATACAAAGTATTTTCCCTCACAGACCTTTTCCTGACTGTTTGCATTGGTTATTTTTCTTTTCCTAAAAGATTTATTATTTTTATTTTATGTATGTGAGTGTTTGTTTGCATGTATGTATGTGCATCTGGTCTGTGTTTGGTGTCCAAGGTGCGGAGAACTGAACCTGAGTCCTCTGGAAGAGCAGTCAGTGCTCTCAACTGCTGAGCCCTCTCTGCAGCCCCAGTATTAGCTATGTTTCTCTTGCTGTGATAATATACCATGACCAAAAACAACTTAGGGGGGAAAGATTTATTATAGCTTACGGTTTCAGAGGGATAGACCCCAGAATGCTAGGGAAGCAGAGAGGAAGCAGTGGGGGTGGAAAATAGGAAGCCATAGAACCCCAGTAATGTACTTCCTTCATTGGTAGTGGGGG